TATTGCGTCAGACTCGAGTGCAGTCACGCCTCCGCCCTCGACCTTGAAAAGACCACCAGTGAAAGAGCCAGTAAATCGTCTAGAGGGTGGCTTGAAAATTCACAAAATGGTCCATGTACCTCCCAGTAACAAGAAGAATGGTGCCCTGAGAAAGTGTTGCATGAGTGCTAAGCACAAGATTAGAAAAGAAACAAGTATCATGTGTGAAGGCTGTGGTGTGGCTCTCTGCAAACTTTCATGTTTCAATGTTTATCACACGAAGAAAAACTAATAAAGAGGTATGGAAAGGCATTTATTGCATAAAATATTCTATTTTAATTAGTTCCTGAAAATTTCGTTTTTAAAAACCAATTTTTGTTGAAGTTGTTTAGGAAAAAGTAACTACATGCATTTTAGCGACATAAGGTTTAAAGGGCCTGCCAGGACAGGGGTGGGATTTAAATACCCTTCGTGCCAGTCAAAGAGTTAAGTGCATCAGTCGCCGAAGTGAGTTCTCCAGTCAGCAGTGAACGAGTTAGTGTGTGTTAAGGAGTGGCGCCGTGAAATATAGCAGCCGCCGAAGACAGTGTGTGTGTGATACAGGGACACTTACATAGCTCCCGTAATGTAATTAATACGTGTAGCCTACTGAAGATAGAGTGAAGAGATTATTGCGAATAGGGTTATAAAGTGTGAAACCCCGCAACTGTGTTATAATTAATTGTAGCCGAGACTTGTAGGTTGTTAAATAAACCAATTAACAATCCGAACGGCCTCTTCCAAATACAAAGCAGATTCAATACTAATAAACACTATGAATTAAATGACTCAAATATGAAAAATTATCATCTCTTGCACCACGCTGAACAAAGAACTAGACAGTATATCACATTTATAAATCTCTTGACTACATAACATGTAATTTGACCAGCTTCACACCACAGCTTCTTTACTCTCTCAAGAAAATCATATTTTACAAACACGCTAACATTTCATGTAACAAAATTCATGATTAAAGATTATATTTTCTTGTGCACAAGTTTTAGAGCAAATGAAATGTAAATGGAAGAGTATTATTTGCAACATCTGTGTCACGTTTGTTAAGTAATACTGGTTCCTGACAACCTGATATGTAAAATGGCAGCAACTTTTACTTAAGTATAACATAAGGAACAGTTTATTACTTCAGTTACCATACACTGTAAGCTTGTGTGTAAGACAAAACACCATTTCAGAAGTGAATGCTTAGAAATGAATATTTTGGTGAATATATAGTATTTTGTTTAATATATACTCATAACAGGAACACATATCAATGAAGCATTAAAACAAAAAATCTCAAACTACCAGTATATGTTATTTATCTGCAAGAATTACAAAAACATTAAAGGGCTTAATGGGGGGAAAAAATCCACTGGAATTTACAATGGAAAGATCAACCCATCTCTTAAAGGTACAGAACCTAAAAAATCCAAACCTTGACTTTGATGTTGATGATATACAGTATTAACAAGTATTGCAGTCATAAATTACTTCTCTATTAGATAAAAAGAGAAGTTTAGTCTTTTTCACCACATTTCGTAAGTTCATTACATTTACACCACAAACCATGTGAAGATGTGTGGAATTTTTTGGGGGGTGAATGACCCTTATACACTAAAAAATATAGTAGTTATTGAAGCAACAATGCTCAAAATGAACAGAACACTTACAGCTTTGCACATGTTGAACATAGCCAATACATAGTTCTCATACAACAAGAAAACTGGTGTGTCCACTGTTACATAGTTGTGAAGTGCAGGCATCATATCAGTAAAGTAATCGAAACCATCCTTCTGAAACACCTGAAAATAACAATACAAAAAAACTTCTTAAAACTTTTCTCAGAGATGCTACATGAATGGCTAGAGAAAAGTGTAATTTCTGTAATTTAACATTCAATGATGTAGATTTCCTCTAGAAATATAGTAAATATATTCATGTATGGTAATTTGTAATTTCCTATGACAAGTTCAAGGTGTTATGTTACTGGCTATGTACATTTCACATATAACATAAAGTGCACTACATTCTAACAATCACACCAAAAGCTGATTAGTATGGTTCACAAATGTGAAAAATCCTGCCATATTGCTGAAAGAAAAACAATATTCTGAAGTGGGTACAAGTATGCTGTTGAACAAAGACTCTATGTTCATCGTGAAGAGTAGATAAAGAAATGGTTTGAAAGGTGAAGAGGGATTTGATTTTTCTGATAGTTCTAGAATGGCAATGTGAGTCTCTGCACTGATGTTTTGAAGGTGACCATACTGAACTCAAATACTAAGGTAAAGTTCAATGTATGCTCATAAAATAGTTATCTGAAGATGTTACAAAGTTAAATTTATCAACAATCATTTTAAAAGAGCGTGGGTTCTTACTACAGTTCTGTATCAAATTCTGAACACAATGTGAACATCTGAGATATCTAATAATTTTGTCTTAACCTACAATGATTTTACACAAAAAGTTCAAGTTTTCTTTTTTTCCCAACAGGAGTCATATTTAAATGTCCTAGACCAACAAAGGGTTATATGTCTACATATTCAAAATACTGTGGTGATCTGTAAGCAGATTACAGCCCTCATTAATTACCAATTCTAGGTTGGTAGTCTTCCTTAAATTAATTTATATAAAAATCTATATTTCTGATGAGTATTATGATCTGGGATAGGACACTGTTCTAATTCATAACCTTCACCACAGAATTTACTTTATCTATAGCCCCCAACATTATGTACATAAAAAATAAAAAAATTTGAAGGATTTTGAGCATGTCTACACAATAAAGGGCAACACAAATCTCGTTACAACTTACAAGTAGTAAACTCCCAGCCATCTGGCACCCACATATCCAGAATTCTGAACCAACCAGTACACATTTCAAAGAAATGTAATAATTTATACAAAAACAAATTCATTATGCATTTATTATTTTCATCTGCCATGCAACAGTTCTCCCACCCACAATTAGCAGCATTACCCATCATCCATCCTCACACAAATGCCACTGTAGCACAGGTTAGCTGAATTTGTTATCGTGTTATGTATGTGTATCCAAAATCTTTCACCTATCAATTTGCTATGTCACACACAAGAACTAAGGAGAAAAAAATGTTTCGAGTTGTTTTGATTATGTGAGTTTTTCTTATGCAATTAACATATTCATGTAAATGCAAAATCCCATTCACCATATATATGACAGTATTGGTTAGTTTACTGTACATCTAGCTGAAATATTCTATTTTGCATTATAATGGTTACATTTTGTAACTCTGTAACATCCTTTTTCCACAGTAATTTCTTAAAATACCTTGAATGAATGAATGTATAAGGGGTGGACCTTCTCGGCCTTTGCACCGTGACCACAGTGATCTGTTGTGCTTCCCTTTCTGATTATCCCCTCAATAATCCTGCGCTTCGAATGAGCGTAGGATTTTGTACATGGGGATGTCGAAATAGTCACTTGGTTCCATAAAATATTGGCCCAAGTGACGTAGTCTTAAATAAGCTAAGGTCTCACATTCACACAGGATGTGTGTGGCTGTTTGATTTTCTTCTTGATACCTCTCACAAGTTGGACTATTACTTAGTCCCAGTTTGAAGAGGTGTTCTTTGAGGTGACAGTGTCCTGTAATTAGTCCCACCACCCATCATAGCTGGTTCCTGTTTAACTTCAACAGTTCCTTTGCTCTTTTAGCAGAGGGTCCTCGTATGAGTCCCTTTGCTTGAATGAGTCCAGTCAAGGATCCCCAGCATTTCTTGTGATTCATATTTGTGCAGTTCCTGATTGCCTTTCTGGCAACTGATACAGAGATGCCACAGGATGGTTCAGGTCCTATGAAAGGATGTTCAGCTCCAATCTTGGCCAATTGGTCTGCTATTTTGTTTCCAGCAATACCCCCATATCAGTTGTACCCTGTTATGTTTGGCCAGTTCCATGAGTTTGGTGGCAATCCCAGACCAATTTTGAGTTGATCTGGTGTTTGTCAAGCGCTTTAAGACAGAATGTACGAGGGGGTACCCAAAAGAAACCGAACTTATTTTTTTTTTAAACTTATTTGTTCAAATTTTAAGCACAAACCTTCAATCCCCTTCAAAGTACTCTCCACTTACACTAATACACTTGTCTAGTCTTTTATTCCATTTTTCAAAACATTGTCTAAATTCATCGTTTGAGATGCTTGACAGTGAATCCGTCATTTTTTCCTTTCATGTCTCTTTTCATTCGAGGAAACAAAAAAAAAGCTGCACAGGGCAACGTCGGGTGAGGAACAGGGGTCATACCATTTTTGGTCAAGAATTGTCGTACAGACAGGGCTGTGTGAGCAGGGGCATTGTCATGATGGAAAAACCAGTCACCCGACTGCCACAAATCTGGCCGCTGAGCTCCAAGTCACTCCCGACAGCTCCACAATTTCTTCAATGGTCCTTCGTCGATCTTCCTTGATGATTTCACGAATTTTTTCAACATTTTCATGTGTTCGGGCCGTGGAAGGACGACCAGAACGAGGTTTGTCATCAATTGACATTTCACCATTTTTGAAACGGGAAAACCACTCAAACACTTGAGTTTTCCCCATAGCATCGTCCTTGTACGCCGTTTTTAACATTTCAAGAGTTTCTGTTCCACTTTTCCCGAGCAAAAAGCAGAATTTCACCGCCGCACGCTGTTCACGAAAATCAGCCATTGCAAAAACGACGATCTCACAAAACAGTTGTCACTATAAACTCTGCCGAAACTAGTCCTTACCTTCTGAAGCAATGGTAGTCGGCTTATCGACTCAGGAATGTTAGCTCTATGCGCTCATAGCGGCAAAACGCAGTACTACAAAAGCTCTGCCCACAAAAAAACTAGTTCGGTTTCTTTTGGGTACCCCATCGTAGATGTTTCTATTTCTGTAGTTCCTATCTAGATTCTCCATAATACATGCCTTAATGGCATACACTTCTGCCTGGAATACTGTCGTATACTGCCCAAGGATGAAACTAAGTTTCTGCCTGGTGCCATAGCTGAACACACCAGCTCCAGTGCCCTTACTTATCTTGGAACCATCTGTATACAAGATCAGTCCCCCTTTTCTATTGGGCCAAAATCTGTCTTCCCATTCACTCCTGTCAGGAAATCTGACTGTGAAGGGTTTTTCATATACATGTCTCAGTATCATTTTGTCAGACCCCATTTGTAATATGGGTTCTTTTTTCATGTCCAAAACTATCAGATTTAGGTTTCCATTGATCACTGCACTGGAGACGGCAGATTCCTGCCCTGGCCTCTGCCTCCAACTGTGTATGCAGTGGGGGAGTCCAAGAAGTGTCTCCAGTGCAGCTGTTGATGTTCAAATTTCTCCTGTGATACCCAAGCAAGCCAACCTTTGCAATTTGGTAAGTTCTGCTTTGCTTTTCTTGAGTTTAACTCTGGCCACCATACGTAATTATGAGTCTTACAACCGCAGTGTATATCCAATGCACAACGTGCAGCTGCAGTCCCCAAGTTTTACAAAACATGCTTCTGCATGTCCAAAAAGCCTTACAGGCTTTATTGATGACCTTGTCCAGCTGCTTTTCCATGTCAGTCCCTTGTCTAATACCAGACCAAGGTACTTGACATCGCTGGATAGCTGGATCGTCTTATTGAAGAGGGTCAGTTCCTTAAGGCCCTTTATATTTCTCTTCCTTGTAAACAGTATAATTACCATCTTATTAGGATTGATGGAAAGGCTTGTTCTTTCACACCATCGTTGGACCGTGTGCAGAGCTGTTTGAAGACGCTCTGATACTGTCGAAAGGAATATTCCGTTTATGAGGATTGCTATGTCATCAGCATATCCTACTGTATAATACCCATCATCATTAAGTCCCCACAGGAGATCGTCAATGACCAGGCTTCACAGCAGAGGCGAGAGCCCGCACCCTGGGGACACCCCCTAGACACGGACGCCCCCAGGGTCTCTCTTGATAAGTGTTTAAAATGCCTTACTTTCACAAAACAAATTTCATGAATTAATTCTGCAACTAAATATATTTAAATTCATCAAAAAGTTTTTAATTTCTGGAATATCATCTGAATTTATTAAACTGAAAACAAAAAGTTTCTTGAAAACTCAGAAATCTTAGAAAATACATCATATAATAATGAGTCTCTTACCTGATACATGAGCTCCAAGACTTTCCACATATCAGGTGAAATATTTTTACTTGTGAGATCATAGACAAGGGACAGGGCCTCTTCATAAAATTCTGCAATAAAGAAATAATGTGCATTCCCAAGGTCTAGTGGAAAAGAACAATGTTAATACCTACACATGGTAAAATAAACAAGACATAAAATAGGCTACATGCACATTTAACTGGAAAAAAATAAAAGCAGGTAAAATCCCATGGACATGGTAAGCAGAATGGACCAGAAGCCACACCCCATAAGATCTGCCTATGTCGGTGCTCCACAGAATTCTGAATGATTTCTAAAATATTATTACTAATATAATATTGTTATTGGGTTAATCTTGATGCCAAAATACTGTCAATGTCTCCAGGCAAATTACGGCAGTAAAGTTAACACAAGGAGAGAGACTACAGTTAATATAATGAGCTGAAAACAGATGCTCCACATGTCTGCTGCCATCACTTACAGTTTTAGCAGAACCTGGTCACTGTGCATGTAGCATGTCACTGTCAATTCTCAATAATATCAGGTGCAGATAAAGAGTTATGAAGCTAACCTACTGTGGCACATTTGCTCCAAGCAAGAACTGTGGAGCCAGAGAAACGTAACTGATGTGCAACACATAACAATGGAGTTAACTGTTGCAAGTGGTGTTTTCTGTGCAGTAGATGCTGAACCTATACAATGAGGGCCAGCTGCCTTTACAAGGAAGTCTTGAGACAGCAGTTAGAAGAGTAGAAGTTTGTGTGAGATGGCCATCAGCCTGCAAGGACATAGGGAATGTCCACTGTTGGAAGACATTACCAAGTGCTACAGTTCAGACCATGACTGAAAACACTGTCTGGGTGTGGCAGGGATCTGCAAAATGTAGTCACAAGTTGTGTTAATGTGTCCAATAAATCTGAGTACCAATCCAAACCCAATCTACAGTCACTTGAATGTGTGATATGATGCTGCACTTCTTTCAGAGTTTTCTTTTTGAAAAGACAAAAGCCAGTGTGTTCAAACAATCAAATTTGTAACAAGCAGATGAAACAGATGAACAGAAGAATCAAATACTAGAGAATAAACCACTTCAATATTATAATGCATACACAATAGATGAAGAGATGATTGCTACTGTAACGTGGATGGCACAACAGGAAGTAGGGGTCATGTGATCTCTGCGTTTTTGTGAGTGACGTCACATACCCCCACTCCTTCCATCACTATGCAATGCTTGGTGAACACCCTTCCGTGCTAGGCTGTGATGTCAGGCAACAGGCGAGTCCATGCAGTGACTATTGTTAGACAATTGGTAAACACGTCGATTATGCAACAGGGAAGAGAGGTGCATTTTCTGCTGTCCGGCTGAGGGTTTATAAGAGAAACTGGAATGCCTATGGAATTCAGTGGAAGTCTAGCAGTTGCCGAGTGCGGTTGCAGTCAAACATTCGCCGGAGTTAGTCGAGCATTATTAGCAGACGGTTTCCAGCCTTCGAAGAGATGAGGTGAAGTCCAGCAGCCACAAGTTGTTAAGTTGTATCGAGTGAACAGCAGTGACTACAGCAGGAGAAGTAATTGTGATACTGCATATGGCAGTAAATGGGACACTGTATATTGTGTAACTGTAAGAGCAAGTGTGGAATAAATTCACTAGATCCAAAACGGCATGAGGTTATTTGTCACCTGTCACATACCCAACACGTGACAATTTGGTGTCAAAAGTGTTTACGAACTTAAACATGCCTCGATCTAGGAAGAATTATTGAATTTACGAGTGCATCGAGTGTTATCCTGCCCCCCCCCCAAACAAAGAAGCAAGACATTCAACTAATAATGGAAATAGGCCGCACCATAGCTCAAGCAGTTAGTCGCTGGCTTCCCACTGTGGTGGCCCGGGTTCAACCCCGGGTATGGTCAAGTGAGATTTGTGGTGGACAAAGTGGCGCTGGGGCAGGTTTTCTCCAAGTACTTCGGTTTCCCCTGCCAATCTTCATTCCACCAACTGCTCCACAATTACCCTCACCTATCATCTGGGGCTGGTACAATAGGCCAGAAGTGGCCGCAGTACAAGGGACTTAGTCCCACTCCACTAGCAATAAAAAAAATTAATGGAAATGATGGAAGAATTGAGGGCTGATATGAAGACTGACAAAGAAGATTTCCTGGCAAGAATGGACACCAATATGAAAGCCCGGCGAGAAAAGGCAGACGCCGACATGACAGCCTGGGGAGAAGAAATCCGCTCAATGTGGTTTGAGACAAAGGATACCCGAAAAGAGACGATGGCTTGCCAAGAGATGGAGGCACGTTTAGAAGAAGAGCCGACCTCGTTGGACAGGAAGCCTGAGGTGGCACAAGAAGAAGAGGTCCCCAAAGAAGACGCCAAAGTGATGCTGGTCAGAGAACCGAAGAAGAAAAGGCATAATGACCAAAAACTGGCTGTGGAGCGTCTCCACCCGATGAATCAACGGGCTCATTGTCAGGATGGGCGCCGAAGAAGAGGACTGGCCATTGCCCGGACAGGGACAAGCTGCCATGCAAAATTGGCACGGAAAACACAAACTGATCGGAAGGTGTCCGTTATGCAGCAGTGGCAAAACACAGGAGAGATGCCTTCAAGAAGGAGACTACTCAGGGAACTTTTGGATCCCGGAGAAAGGAACCGACCGTCAATTGTCTACAGTGTCTCCGCAAGCAGCCTTCTGATGCGTCTCAACCATTGTGGGGTGCCTATAGAAGCGTAGAGAAACCAGCAGTGGGCACCATTGCGCCATGGTTTCATACCAGCAAGTGGCGAGAAGACCAGGAGGAACGATGATGTCAGCAGGTGCAGACCACACTTCAAGTGCTGTTATGCCAACATAAGGAACTTCTCAAGAATGACATGATCAAAAACTGGACACTGTAGAGAGGTCGACCCCTTCCGAAACGTTAAATGAAACAACGGATTGAGGAGCCGGTAACGTAGAAGCACGGGTCTCCCCAGCAAGAATGGATGAGGAGAGAATAAAAGTGAGGAGTAAATGTGATACAACGGATCAACGAATGCTGGAGCATGGAGCTGCTTGGGACAAGCACCTTTGAAGAAGGGGAGTGCAGGTAGCGCCCCAAAGACGAACACCAAACAAGAAGAAGAACGGTTAGGCTATTCAAGATGAACAGCCTTAAGGAGGGAACAACGTGGCATATTGGCTCTATGCAGGAACTGTTGGGGCACAGAGGCCTCGGGGCATGTTCGCAATGTGAGAGTTCTGGATTGTATCAGCACGTTGCTAAGCGACAGCTCTGTGAACACTTGGATTGCGCAAAAGGAAGTGCGAGTGATGTCACATACCCCACTCATCCCGTAACTACACAACGCTCGGTTAACCTTTAAACGACTAATGGCCCCATATGGGGTCGCACAGTCCGCGCGTGCGNCACCCCTCCCCACTAGGCTGTGACATCATGCAACAGGGGAGTCCATGCAGAGAGTATTGCTAGGCAATCGGCAGCGTTACCCAGCAACGTCTCTGTAAACACGGCGAATACGAACCAGTGAAGCAAGGTGCATTTTCCTCTGTCCGACTGAGGATGTATAAGAGTAACTGGAATGCCTAAGGAGTTCAGTTGTAGTCTAGCATTTGCCGGAGTTAGCTGAGCATTAGTAGTCGGTTTCCAGCCTTCAGAGAGAGAGTTACGAGACAGAGCCAGTTACCAGAGTACTAGAGTTACGAGGATTCAGCTACGAGTTGTCATTGAATTGTATCGAGTGAATGGAANATCCAAAACGGCATGAAGTTCTTTGTCATGTGACAAACACGCAACACGTGACACTATATTATCTGAAGCTAGATCAAATCTTCAGTGCTGTACACCGAATGTGACAGCAAGTAGTTTCTGATATATATAGACATTACACTCTCAAAAGCAGGGTACTGCTCTTAAGCCAATGCATTTCTCTGAGATCAATGGTAAGTGTATGGTCAACTTGGGAAATATGCTGATTCTTCTACCAAGACCACTCAAGAAAACAGTCCATGGAGAGCCTCACCATAGCCAGAACAGCCAGTAGATATCATGTTCATGTAATGACTGATCACAAATTACTTAACTCATTGAACACACATGCCGAACCCTGCACTTTCTTTTAAAATGCAGTTTTCACTGTGCACAGTAAATCTATATTCTGGATTCCTCCGGGAGAACAATAGAACCTTAACTGAAGGGAAGTGCCACAGTGTAGGTAAGTGAAGTTAATACTTACCCATAACACTCTGAGAGAAGATATGTCCCACCACCTGCAGTACTGTGGGCTGTAGCTGTGCCATGATCTCTGGCTGGTCCTCCATCACAGTCAGCAATGTTTCAATGGTATTCAGTAAGCCCATTGCAGTAATAGCCTTCTCATCTGAACCTTCATCAGTCTCCAAGACTTGGCTAAATGTTGCTGCCTTCAAAAATGGCAAGTTAACATTGCATTTTAACATCCTGTTGTGTTTGCATTCTTGTCTTAATTGTACATACATGCAATTACCGTCTTAAATGCAACACTTATTTTCGACGTTCATGCATCTTATTACAACATATTTGGCCCCACTTGGCCTTTATCAGACATGCACTCTTGCTAAAATTGTTGCACTGTCATCATAATATGGCCTGTGTTAATGCATTGTTATTTTTAGCTTTAAATAACCTTTAAAAGCTGATAGAATTACTGATTAATGCCTCAAACACCTTACCATTACTAAAATGTATAAAAGAATTAAATGACTCTTAGAACTGGAACATTTTTTTTTGGTTGTGTGGGGAGAATATTCCATTGTATGATCATTGAAAATTAGAACTAAGTGGCAATGGCATCTGGTGAACATAAAGTCACTTATTTTCACATCATACTGTGCTGTATATTAGTTTCATGTTCCACTATGTAATGTCTTACAGATGTTCGTGGGATATCACTGCTTGTGACCCAATAAGCTTCACTTGGATTCTAAGGTTATGGAAGAGCAGATTCAACTGATAAGCCTTCCATATTCTTTTAATTCAAAATTTAACTGAAAAATGGTTTGACTCAAGCCAAAGAAATTATTTCTCAGCCAAAAGTGTGACTCACACATGCCTAATAATAGTAAAATGTGTGTTCAATATAAGCCTCTCATATCCCTAAGTTCATGGTATCTGCATAAGCAGAAAATTTGGTTTCTAGTGCTGCTGTTAATATACAGTCATTCCCAAACTTACAACTTAATGCAGATTACGAGCGTCGATCAATAAGTACCCATGTTAGGAATAAAGAAACAAATTTTTCACAATTTTTTTTTTCAACGTAATCTCCTTTGAGATTGATACACTTTTCCCAACGTTTCTGCCATTTCTTTAACCCCTCCAAAAAATACGGTCGAACTCTTCAAAATACACTTCTGTCTTGGCGATAACCTCCTTGTTTGAGCTGAATTTTTTTCCCCCAAGCCAAGTTTCCATGTTGGGGAACAGAGTCACAGGGAGCCAGGTCGGGCGAGTACGGTGGGTGCGGCAGCAATTCGTAGTGCAGTTCATGCAATTTGGCCGCGACAATTCCGGATGAACGTGCTGGTGCGTTATCGTGGTGAAACAGCACTTTTTTCTTAGCCAAATGGGGCCGTGTCTCCTTCAATTTCTTATCGAATCGGTCCAATAATTCACTGTAGTACTGCCCCGTGATCGTTCTTCCTTTCTGCAAAAAGTCCATGAGGATTATTCCCTTCGAATCCCAAAAAATCGTGGCCATGACCTTTCCGGCCGATGNAATGGGACCGTCTTTGCCTTCTTTGGAGAAGATTCACCCGGAAGAATCCATTGTTTTGGCTGTTGCTTGGTCTCTGGCATATAATAATGTATCCAGGTTTCATCAACGGTGACGACTCAATGCAAAAACTCCTGTGAATTTCGCTTAAAGAGGTCCAAACACTGCTTCGACATTGACAGCCGTATCCACTTGTTGTCCACTGTGAGCAATTGCGGCACCCATCAGGCCAACACCTTTCTCATACTTAACTTATCATGTAAAATATTGATTGCCGTTCCGTATGACATGTCTACGGCCTCTGCTACTTCGCGCACTTTAGTTCGGCGATCAGCAAGAATCATGTCGTGGACCTTTTCAACAGTTTCCTCGGTAACCACGTCTGCCGGGCGGCCTGGCCGCTCCTCATCAAAAACAGATGTATGACCACGTTTAAATTCGTTGAACCAATATCTCACGGCTGTCATAGATGGTAGAGGGTCCCCATAGACAGCATCCAACTTTGCTTTTATTTCTTTGCATGTTTTTCCATCCAAAAATAAAAAGGGAATTACGGATTGATATTGCACTTTTTCCATTGTATCGAGAAAGACGAAACACGTCTGATGCAACTGGCTGCCAAATAAAAACTAACCTATGAATCAGTCTGAAATTTAGTATGGTGTCGTTTGACAGACGGCAGTAACCTGGCAGTTGTAACTTGGCAGATGCCAACTTCCCTCAGCAACGCCACCTGTCTTCAAACACGGGTACTTATTGATCGACCTTCGTACAAGCATTAAAAAAGGGGGAGAAGAGAGAGGATGAGGCAGTGGAGGAGAGGTGAGGAAGGGGGAGAGAGAAGAAAAAAGAGGGGGCCAAGTTCATTATAGTACAATAATATGGGATACTGGTTATGTTGCTTGCGCTCAAGGCTCAGACCTGTTTCTAATATTTTAAATCCTAGAACACTATAGTTCTGTTCATTTTATTACAAAGACAATAAAGGGAAACCAAATAGACACATTATTAAACATTTAACCTATTCAAAATAATATAAAAGATAAGACAACTCTGTCCAGTGTGAATTGCTGAAGTTTTTACTACTTCAATTCTTTACACCCATCACACTGGACAGAGTTGTTTTATCTTTTATAATACTGTTAGTGTGACAGACCAGAATGAAATAAATCATATTCAAAATATGTTAATTACAGAGACTGTTAAGAATTAAGATTTCAGCCACCAAAGCACTACAACCTTCATTATGTCCAAAATTCAAGTATCAAGTCATAAGCCCAAAAATTAGAAACATTTAATTCTAATGGGTGTTAATTTAATAAGATCGTTAAGTTCTCAATTCTGTGGATTGGCCAGTCATAGGTAAAGTTGCAACTGTACATTATTAATGAAGGACAAGTGAACAAACAATTCTGTCAGAAGCAGCCAAGACTCTTTTTATTATCTTGTTGGGTGGACTGTGCTCTGCTTTACACAGATCATATAGTTACATAATTTTCCTATGAAATCCATAATACATGGGCTATTCAGAAAGCAACCTCCATTTATTCTAGGCAACTAATGTAGGAGCACAGGAGAGCTTGCACATGTGTGGTAGCATCACATGACTCATCATATAACTGGTCAGCCAGTTTTCGTTCTTGTCTCTGCTGTGTGAGTTACGATGTGTCCTACGATTTATAATCCTGCTAGCTGCGAAATTTGTGCTGTTATCTGCTTTCTTCATGCTAAAAACATGAGTTCTGTGGAAATCCATCAAGAATTAAGCACAGTTAATGGCCAAAACGTAATGAGTGAAGGATCCATAAGACAGTGGTGTAGAATGTTCAAAGATGGGCGAAGAAATGCTCACGATGAAGAGTGAAGTGGTCGGCTGGCCATCTATGTTCAACATGCTGACCATAATATTTGTGAAAGACAGCGCTACACAATTTCAGAACTCTTGTGTGAATTTCCACAAATTTCACACAGTTCCCTATAAGAGTGTCACAGTTAGGCTAGGCTATCACAAGTTTTATGCAAGATGGGTTCTGAAAATGCTCATGGGTGTGCACAAAATGCAGAGAACGCCTTTGGCTTTTCTTTTTTCGAGCGATATCACAAAGATGGCTACGAATTTTTCAATCACGCTGTACAAGTAACAGGTGATGATACCTGGGTTTCATTTGTGAATGTTTAAAAAGAGAAGAAAAAAAGCAGTCAAAGCACTGGATCCACACACATTCACCAAACGAGCTGAAAATGTTTAAACAAATGTCTGCCAGAAAGCGGACAGCAACTGTTTTCTGGAATAGGAAAGGACTGGTGATGGTATAATTCATCGAACAAGGGACAACAATAGTGTCACAAGCGTATGTGAAAACACTAGAAAAAATTGTGTAGGGCCATTCAGAATAAAAGGCATGGAATACTGATATCTTGAGTAGTGCTCCTCCATGACAATGCATGTCCGCATACAGCTGCTCACACCTAAGCACTGCTGGAGCATTTCAACTGGGAGTTGTTTGACCACCTTCCTTACAACCCTGATGTCACTCCAAGTGACTACCACCTGTTTACCTACATGAAGAACTGGTTGAGATCACTGAAATTAAGCAATAATGAGTTTATGGAAGGAATCAAAATGTGGCTAAGCTCAGACATCTTTGATAATTTGATACAAGCTTACAAACTTATTCCCCAATATGACAAGTGTCTCAATTCCTGCAGTGACTACACTGAGAAATAGCTTATTTATGTATGCATATTTTGCTCACTGCTTCTTTTGTTAACAGCTCACTGGAGGTTACTTTCTGAAGAGCCCACATATTTTACTGTGATAAAATGCATTTTTTAAGTTAAACATATCTTTACACTTATTTTCACAATATTAAATGTTTTACAAATATATTTGTGATGGTGAGGCAAAACACTTTCATCTCCTACCACAGAATATGAAACTTAAGTGTCCGGTGTAGGTACTGCGCTTGTGAGTAATAACACAGTTAAGGACAGATAGGAAAGCACATGACACACTTTGAATAGTATAACTAATTCCTCCCAAATTTTATACTTTACCAGATGTTGGCACATCTCTACTGCAATAGGCATTAGCTGCTCTGTGTAAGTGCATACAATCTTCTGCATTACACTTGTCAGATCATCATTCTCTGTTTCACGAATTATTGTCAGCAGTTCAAGAGTAATTTGTCTTATCTGGAACAAAGAAGTCACAAGCAAACCATGGCATACAAGAATTCGGACTAAACAAAATACAAGAGGAAAAACATGTCCATAGGCACTGGCAGGAGCCAAGTATGCAAAAATCCTTGTCCTACTTCATAAATCTTGAAATGTCTGTTCAGAAGTATAATACATAAGCAGATGTCATGCAGCAATGCAGAGAAAAATATTACATTAATTATGTTCACTCTACTTCACCAAAAACTAAAAAAAAAAAAAAGTATCTGTTTCTGAAATTTCTAGTCTATTATTATTATTATTAGAGGGGGTGGGTTTCCCCATGCACTTAGACCAGTTATTGGTCCATTGTGCATCCCCCTTTCATTTCTACTGTCGCCATACCCTACCGGTACTGGTGCGTGCTATCAGCCCTGTTCAGCCAACGAGGTCGGCCCTCGGTACCTTATATTTCCTGATATTTCTACCAGAGGCATTGGAAATTACTTGGGCGGGAAACTTGTTGCCTAATTTTGCTCAGAGGTCTCCTAGAAACATGAGAATCTTTTACGTGCCGTAAATCTACGACACGGGACCCATGGCTTAAAGTCCCTCCCAGAGGACTTGTTCCCTGAATTTTTCCGCCCTTAAAAATTCCACGACCTCCACCGGGTTTGAACCCATGTACCTCGAGTCATGAGGTGGGAACATTACCCCTAGACTAAGGAGGCCACTAATTTCTAGTCTAAAAAAGTGAATATGTAAAACAGGAAGGGGATGGGTGGATGCTCACAGCTGTCTAAAATAAAGCACAAATATCCTTTCTTAATATCTGTAGACATGGATCTCAAATATAATCACCAAAAAAGGAAACAGTAAAAAGACTTGATTATTCAAGGTAGGTCTACAGAGAAGAAATTACTTGCTTTAGTTAAGACCTGGTTCCCACTGACACACTGATATGCATATAAAATTATAATAATCTCTATATATAATTTAGAAAATGATACATATAACATACAAAATTAATTCTTGAATTCAGGAGTGCATACCTGTGGTTCCACATATTTCTGTGCTTTTTCTTGTGCATTGAGCAGCATCTGTAGAGCAATGGCAGCTTCCACCTTAACAGGCAAATCCTGGTCTGTCAGCAGAGCATTTGTAGTCAGTCTGACAGCTTCCGCAAGAACCGCTTCCTCCTTGAATTTTATTTCACTGAAGTAATGCAGAACCCAACAAGCCTGGAAGCAACAAACAATGGAAAACGGCCCCTTTTCTACATCCTGTAATGCATATATAGTGGAAATAAGTTACCAATACTGTCTGTTCAGTAGGTGTGCAAAGATATATAATGTGACCATATATTCTATTTTCAAACTTCTATGCAAGGACTTTACTGAAAAACGTACCTCACAAAATATGAGATAATACTTTTACCTTTCAAACAAAACAGAGAGTTTCAGTAAGATTAAAAGCACTTACCTATGCTTCTAACTTCCAAGTAATCAATCTTCTTTCCTTTTATGTATATGTAGACAAAATGTACAACACACTATAAGGGAGGTGTTATGTTTCCACTGACTTGTTAACTATAAACAAATTTTCATTTAATGTCCTTGCAACTGCAATGCCTCCAGTTCTACTATTTATGTCAGCTTTATAGTCTGTCAACACAGTATTTAAACCTACAGTGCGTACAATCAAGTGCGCACCGCGGCTGCAATTTGCCGTGAGTCATACCACCGCAGAACGGATGCAGNTTTAATGAAGATGCTATTTGAATAACTGCCAGCTGCCATTCATACTTCTTTATCCCAAATAGTCTTACCACAATGCAATAAATGTTTCATAATGTGAGCTTCACATTAGCATGAAAAAAAAAAATTAGCACATTCAGTTTCTTAATGTTATATTTTTGAAAACCCTTATATAAAACAATAAGTTTTTTATGGCCCATTTCTCACAACAAATGACTCCTAGCAAGCCAGACTTCTTTTCCACAGTTGTCTGCAATGACTGTACTTGCAGGTTTGCTTCCTAAGCTACTCACAGCCACCTTGGTTAAACGACACCCAAACGGAAGGCAACTCAGATCCTAAGATGACTGAGTTATAATCACACTTCTACAGCAAGGAGCAACTTTCTTTGGAATTCCACATGAAACACTTTTGTATTTTTAAATTCTTGTTGATCCCATACCCCTACATAACATACAACATGCAAAAGATAATCACAACCTCATTATGTAAACTACATTAAAAGTAATAAAAACACACTTACTCTAGCTCTCATGTGACCTCGTGGACTGGTAAATTCAGGGAAAACATACTGACACAGCATGTCATCCATCTGTTCTTTATATACTTTTGTCTTCAACAAAACGTCTGCTAATGTGCCAACCTATAAAATACAATAATTTCATACGAACTTTTAAATTCTGCTTGCAAAAGCATCACTTACCATGTCTGATGGAGTACTGAGTGTAAAAAAATTATATTATTTTTGGGCAATTTCTCTCTTGCCAAAACAAGCTGTACTGTGGCTTGCATGATAAATACCTCTGTACCTCCCTCCTCCATTTGAGCATATCCATAAACAAAGGAGGCTGCTTTCAAGGTATTTCAGTCACTTACAAAATATAACATTTCCTTCTGTGTTTTAACAATATATTATTGTCAGAATAATCAAAGTAGTATTAGTGTTATGACTTGAAATATATATTAGATTTAATAAGAATCTGTAAATATCACATACCTACTTAAAATGTGAATGACTGAAATATAAACTCAAGATGAATTCATATAAAATAATATACATTACAAACTTCATTTTAGATTACATTTAAAATAACTTAAAAGAGAATTTCTATTCCCATAACATATTAACAGCAATTCACTGGCTATGAAGTCTACCTGAATATGACTGGTCAACATTCTGAATGAAGACTAATCACATTCTTTGTCACACCAGTTACTTCAGAATGTAGGCCACATAAAATTCCTTCTACTTCTGCAATGAACCTTGATTTGTATTAATATATAGTGAAATTATATTTCTCAAATGATAACAGAATAAGAGGGAAGAGGTGTCCTGTAAACACTAAGTTGGAGAACACATATTTTCAAAGTGCACCTCTGCGATCTCCCATTGGCAATGTTGTTCATTTATTGTTGACACACATTTATTACTGTAGATACAAATATATTAAGAGTCAGGATAGTGTAGTCTGTATAGTGGCTGGTTACGGGCTGGACAATGGAGGGGTCGGAGTTCAAGTCCCGGCAGGTTAAAGAATTTTCTCTTCTCCACGTTGACCAGACTGGCTCTGAGGTCCACCCAGCCTCCTATCAAATGGGTCCTGGGGGCTCTTTCCTCAGCAGTAAAGAGGCAGGGACATGAAGCTGGCCCCTCACCTCAAACTAGTGCTGAGGAAAAATCTCTATACAGAAAGGAAAAATCAGGGCATCTGATTTTGCAGGACACAGGTTCACAGTTCACATTTTAAATCAATATAATACATAAAATTCTCACCATATGTAAAGCACCATCTTTTTGCCTAGGATCTGCATTTGGTGATGTTAAAACCTGCATTATGAAATGCATCGTTTTCTGCAACATATCTTTCCTCTTCTTACAAGAAGAATGGAGTAATGTCTGTGCTGCTGTTACAGGTGATACAAAGTCTTCAAATATGTCTGTAACAGTAAACAGTGAATCGGCTACAGTAAATATAATATTACTCATGCCATCAATAGAATTTCCACAAATTTTGAGAAGTTAAGGCTCATTAACCCTTTGACGTGGTGATTTAAATTCCGCGGCCGCGGCTCCTGCGGTAATATATTCAGCCGGCCATTTAAATTTTGCTCGAAAATTATTTATTCATCATTGTTCTTAAATTCTATGAGATAGGAACATGAAACTTTCACTAAAATGATCTTAAANATATGTAACGATGACTTGGCGCAGATAAAGTCGTGTCTTATTTATACTCTGTTCTACTGACAACAGGCCAGCGAAAAATCTAACAATCTACAGCAAAACCATCAATTATTATGGGCGTTATAACGTAGGTGTGCAGCTGGACGAAACATACACGTCGAACCCCCCCAGACGATTTAAATCCCTGACGAAACATACACGTCGAACCACGGCAACGGGTTAAACTGTATAACTCAGTTTGAAGAATCATTCATCATTCGAGATATGTTATATTTGGCCGTGACAATATTCCTGGTAGGAATTGAACCTCATCCATTCAGCCATAGCAATCACTTCTCTTATACTTTCTCTTTCAATATAAATATGATGACACAGCACTGTTGTACACTTTAAGTGACAGGATCAGACTTCACCTTCCACTGGCACCAACGCACAGATATGCGGGAGGGGGCACAATTATGTGTCGAGAAGTGACAGCAGTGTCCCACATTCTGTCACAAAGAGTTCTGTTGTGCTCCTGCTG